GCTGGTGGAGTCTGGGGGAGGCTTGGTGCAGCCTGGGGGGTCCCTGAGACTCTCCTGTGCAGTGTCCGGATTTACCTTCAGTGGTTATTGGATGAACTGGCTCTGACAGGCTCCAGGGAAGGGGCTGGAGTGGATTTCATCCATCGATGGTAGTAGTAGCACATACTACCCAGACTCTGTGAAGGGCCGCTTCACCATCTCCAAAGACAACAGCAAGAGCACACTTTACCTGCAGATGAACAGCCTGAGAGTGGAGGACACAGCCGTCTATTACTGTGCTACAGACACAGTGCAGGAAATCCAGTGTGGGCCAGACAAAAACCTCCCTGCAGGGCACTCAGCACCAGCAGGGGGCGTTGGGCACACACTGAGGTCATGCTCAGTCAGCAGCAGCAGGGGGCGAGGGGCACACACTGATGTCATGCTCATTCAGCACCAGCAGGGGGCGCTGGGCACACACTGAGGTCATGCTCAGTCAGTACCAGCAGGGGTGCTGGGCTCACACTGAGGTCATGGCAGTCACAGGAGCAGCTGTGGAGCTCAGGCCCTGACTCCTCTGTACAACGATGCTAATGGTCCTCTCCTGCTGTTGTTATATGTCTCACTGGGACACATACAATAGACCCTATGGAGAGATCAAAGAGTACAGCTCTTCACAAAGACTAAGTCAAAGGACAACAAAGTAAGCACCAGAAAGTGGGTACTGGGAGTGGAGAGATGAGGGGCAAATGCTAGAAGAATGAGGGAGACAACGTGGAGAACACTGGCAAGAATACAGTGCCTATGCCACAGAATTGAGAACAGTGAGCTAAGGGTGGGTCAAAGGGGAAAGGTGAGGAAGGAATGACACAGATCCACATGCCTTGTATCCATGAACTGCTTTGTTCAATGATGTCAGCATACATGTCCTGAACATTGAGCAGAGACAGGGAAGAGGAGGTGGAGGGGTGGGCTAGAATGTTGAAAGGGGCAATGTTGATCAAGCCTCAGTGTGTTTATAAACTGCCTCACTGAACGGCACCTTTATTTTTTATTTAATTAAAAAAATGTTGTGTAGTTGATGTACAGAGCAGGTTTAGTTACGTGAATCAGGTACATTCAGTGCAGTTTTTTATGAACCATTCTTCCCTTCTGTTGCTCTCTCCCAATCCTTCCCTCCTGTCCCCACCCATTAGATTTCCAGTTCATTTTCCACAGTGTCTGGTGAGTATCTCTATGATATTTGTTCATTCCTGTTCCAGATTTTAGGTGACCCCCTTACCCTCCCAAATACAAACAATAAACAATACAAAAGGCAGAGGGAAAATGTTTTTAAAAGCAAATGGCTCAGCAATCTTTACTATTGGAAGCAGAGTTTAACTTCTCTAAAGAAGTTCATATTCCATCACTGGGTTTCTTGAAGCCAATTGATTACAGACATTTCAGTTTATTCACTCATCTAACAATCTCTGTCTTCCACCTGCATCTCCTCTGTGCACTGCCCTCCTGAGACTTCTGCCCCAGAGCTGCTTTATAGCAGAGGACATGCAAATAGGACGTCCCTCTGCCCATGAAAACCAGCCCAGCCCTGACCTGAGCTCTGTGAGCTGATTCCACCAGTGACTGAGCACAGACCACCACCATGGAGCTGGGGCTGCGCTGGGTTCTCCTTGTTGCTCTGTTGAAAGGTGATTCATGGGGAGCAAGGGATACTGAGTGTGCAAATGGACATGAGTGGGAGGAACAGTGGATGTGTGTGACCATTGCTGACCTGGATTCTCTGTGTTTGCAGGTGTGCAGTGTGAGGTGCGGCTGGTGGAGTCTGGGGGAGGCTTGGTACAGCATGGGGGGTCCCTGAGACTCTCCTGTACAGCCTCTGGATTCGACTTCAGTGATTACTACATGCACTGGATCCGCCAGGCTCCAGGGAAGAGGCCTCAATGGCTCTCATATATCAGTGGTGATAGTAGTGACCCAGAGTATGCAGACTCCGTGAAGGACCGCTTCACCATCTCCAGAGACAACAGCAAGAGCACATTTTACCTGCAGATGAACAGCCTGAGAGTGGAGGACTCGGCCATCTATTACTGTACTAGACACACAGTGCAGGAAATCCAGTGTGGGCCAGACACAAACCTCCCTGCAGGGTGCTCAGCACCAGCAGGGGGTGCTCAGCACAGCTTGGAGCTGGGTCAGCTCAGGAGCAGCTGCACACAGAGCCCAGGGCTGCTCTCCTGCTGTCTGCCCTGCCTCTGTGTCCACAGTGTGACAGCATCTCTCTTGAGTTTATGACCCCCACTCCTCTGTGATGTCTTCAGTCCTCTGCTGGGACTGTTAAGAATGAACAGAGTATCACAGTGGAAGCAAAAATGGTGCTGCAGTGTTGACCAGTATTTGATCCTGAAGAAACTCAGGGACCCTGGTGACCCCATGAGACTCAGGACAAAGATCCCAGGATTCACAGAGTCGGAATTTGTTCTGTGAACAAGAGGGAAACCGCCTGTAATGGTGACTGGTGTCTGTAATCCTAGAGACTTGGGAGGAGGAGAGAAAAATGATTTTGAGGACCTCCTCTCAATCAATAAGCTGAATGTGGCAGCTCTTTCCTGTGATTCCAGCTACACAGGAGGCAAGTGTGGAATCACTGTCTGCAACCTGACCCAGGCAAAACCACAGCACAGTACCAGAAAAATAACTAAGATTTGAAAAGTTTAAACATGGTTAAATTGGCAGGTTTTAGCCTCACAAAAGAGGCCCTGAGTTCAATATAGGAGAGACAGAGACAGAGAGACAGATACAGACACAGAGACAGATACAGACACAGAGACAGATACAGAGACAGAACCAGCACAGCTCACTAACTCAGGAATCTTAATAGGCCTCAAATCCTTCCTTTCTCCCTTACTTGTAGCACTGGGCATGGGGCTTCAGAATTCTTCCATTAATTCATTTTCCTCCTCAGTGACCCTCATACTCTCAGCCTCCTTTTCTCTTTGCCCAACCTCGAAACATACTTGGGGACCCAAGCCATAAAACACAGGGGTCGGCCATACCCCTGGAGCTCAGCCGATGGTACCCTGGAAACGTGGTGGACTCCTTAGTGTCCCCTGACCAGGGCCTCTTGCTGTCCTCCATGGGGACGTGGAAGTGGACATGAGGAGTCTGGGTTGGACTGGACAGACAACAGGCCATTTGCATGTAGACTGACCTTGCTGGGCCCCGTCTGTCCTGGGGTTTCCTCCATCACGATGGCTCTGGAGTCCTGTGGATGTCCCGTCTGGGATTGAGGCTGGGTCCCTGTGGCTCCGTCATGAGCACTGTCACTGTGCACGTGCATCATGGGCACGAGGGGCTGGGCCCAGGTGATCTCACAGCAATCTGACTGAGCTCCCTGCATCCCGGACAGCCCTACCTGCTCAAACAGGTCCTTGTTTATTTCTCCATTACGTCCTGATCAGAGAAGAGCAAGCTTCACTTCCTGAACAAAACCTGTGTGTGCACTTTACAGGCTTTAGGAAGAAGACTTGCGAGTTCTGAGGCTTTCCCCGGACAGTTTTTGTGGATAATCAGACCAAGTATTCACTTGTTTAGGAAGCATCCATTCTGTGTCCATGTGGACAGAGATGTGTGCAGGAAGCAAGATCATCTCCACTTTGTGGGGGAAGGAAAAAGAGTCAGGAGAAAAACTGTGGAAATGCGGGAATGTGTGACACTGTTCAAATGGAAATGTACTCATCACCTGACTTTGGTAACTGTAACCCCTCTGTATATGAGCTTTTCAATAACATTGTAAATATTAAAGAAAATTAACATTAAACTGTTCTGTAATCCAGCAATTCCACTCGTGGGAATTTATCTAGAAGATTACAAACCAGGAAGCTTTGGAGTCATCAGGTTAAGGTATAGAATCAACCCAGATGCACGTCCCCACTCAGTGTGTATGTGTCTGTGTCTGTGTCTGTGTGTGTGTGTCTGTGTGAGTGGGAGGGGGGTTGACATAAGTTCTCCATATGTGACCATTACATATTTGTTGAAAGACAGAGCCTCCCTAGACCCAGCCATAGCCCTCCTGGGCACCGACCCTGACATCAGGAGCCAGGATATGAGGACAGCTGCCCGTCCATGTCCATTGACAGGCTAATCACAATAGCCAAGATGTGGAAACCGCCCAGATGCCCAAATGAAGGAGTGGATCCAAAGCTGTGGTACAACACACAAGGGGCATTTTACACAGCCATTAGAAAGAACAAAGTTGTCATCTGCAGTGAGATGGATGGACCTAGAACAAACTGTGTGATGAGGTAAGCCAAGCTCAGAGAGACAAATGGCTCACGTTCTTCTGATATGTGGGAATTAGATCTAAACTACAGGGGGATGTGATAACTGACATGGGACATGATTGTCCCTATGTGACC